ACTGAACCCCCTGGAGAACCAACTTGAGTGGGGCCAGCCTGGGACTGCTGGCTGCATCCTTTCAACCCCACTGCAGGGAAGGAGAGCACATCGAAGAGAAGACGCCGAGAAAGAAGCAATGTGGCCAAGGGGCTGGAGCGATAGTATAACGGGTAGGGTGTTTGCCTTGCACGCAGCCAACCCAGGTTCGATTCCCAGCATCCCATATGGTCCCCTGAGCACCGCCAGGAGTGATTCCTGAGTGCAGAGCTAGGAGTAACCCCTGTGCATCGCTGGGTGTGAGCCAAAAAGAAAAAAAAAAAAGAAGTCATGTGGCTGAGTGTAAGTGTGAGGCCTCAAGTTATTCAGAGTGGCGACTTACACTCCTACTACGCGCTCCAGCCCTGTGTGAAACCCAGACACAGCAACCACAACCAAAGGGGACAGGAGGTGACACAGGTCCGAGATCCCTGCCCCAGGGTTGCAGCTGCTCATTCCCTTTGTGCTTCTACTCCCGTGAGTGTGGACGTGCTTTGGTCACATGGCCTTGCCTTTGTCTTACCACTAGGAGAATCTCTGTCACCCTGAGTGAGTCTAACTCCTTCAGGGTTCTTGTGCGTATTCAGAGAGATCATAAATACAAAAGGGACTTCAAAATTCATAAAACACCCACTTCAGCCCTCAGACATTATTAGTGGTACTATAGCACTATCCTCCTGTTGTTCATCGATTTGCTCGAGCAGGCACCAGTAACGTCTCCATTGTGAGACTTGTTGTTACTATTTTTGGCATATCAAATATGCCATGGGGAGCTTGCCAGGCTCTGCCGTACAGGTGGGATATTCTTGGTAGTTTACCAGGCTCTCCAAGAGGGACAAAGGAATCGAACCCAGGTTGGCCACGTGCAAGGCAAATACCCTACCCACTGTGCTATCACTCCAGCCCATTTACATTAGTGGCAATGTGGAAAAAAAAGTTTCCTTCACTAGCAAATCATTTGGCAGCTCCTGAAATCTCAGTCCTAGGTCAAGGGAACTGAGAGTATGTCTGTACAAACACTGGAACCATAATGCCCATGGCAACACTATGTATGACGGCCTCAAAGTGTTAATGACCTAAGGGAAAATGACAACCTTCTGTTTCCTAAAGAGCAGATCAGTAAATCACAGTCAAGACAGTTGACGGACTGTTCGGCAACCCCAAGGAAAGCAGTACTGAGCCCTAGAAGCAATAAACTAAAAAAAGCAAAAGCAAACCATATCTTGTATGACTCCATGTCCATAAAACGTCCAGCACCGACACATCCATGGAGACAGAAGCAGAGTCGTGGTTGCCAGGGGCTAGCATGAGGGAATGGGGAGTGGCTGCTAATAGTCACAGTTTCTTTCTCATCTAATGAAAATATTCCAAAATTAGTGGGATTTGTTGCCCAGCCTTGCTCATGGATTAGAAACTGCTGAATTGCATGATGAATTCCATCATATGTGAATTACAGCTAAATTTGTCAAATATGTGAGTCAAAAAAAGGACCAAAAAAAACTGACCAAAAGGCGATCTCATTTATCTGTGGAAGAATGAGATAAAGGCTGAAATCTCAGTCCTAGGTCAGAGAAGAATCACAGGAAAGGGAGTGGAAGGCATGGAGGGGGTGGGGCGTATTATCCTTGATGCCACATCATAGGGGCTGGAGCGATAGCACAGCGGATAGGGCATGTGCCTTGCAGGCAGCCAACATGGCCAACCCGAGTTCGATTCCTCCGCCCCTTTTGGAGAGCCCGGCAAGCTACCAAGAGTATCTCGACTGCACGGCAAAGCCTGGCAAGCTCCCCGTGACGTATTCGATATGCCAAACACAGTAACTAGTCTCACAATGTTACTAGTCCTGCTTGAGCAAATCGATGAACAACGGGAGGACAGTGACAGTGATAGATGAATTGAGGTGTTCAGATCTAGGACACAGGGATGCCACATCATAGAAAAGAGAAGGGCAGAAACTGACAGTGGGGAGTGAGAAGAGGTGGGTGCTCGGGGCATGAGTGATGAGTGGTGTAGAGGTGAGATCTGGGTGTGTATCTAAACCAGAGTGGACAACACAGAAAACATGAGATCCAAACCACAGCAGCCAGACTTTGAAACATGCCTATCCAGGAGGGAGGCTGGGGGCAGAGAGACCCACCTGGTGACAGAGTTGGAAGGAAGTGGACACTGGTGATGGGACTAGCATTGGAACAGTGGACACCTGAAACTCAACTAGGAACAACCACATAAATCATGGGGCCTTGGTATTTAATTAAAAAATGGGCATGTGGGAGGACTGGCGTGATAGCACAGTGGGTAGGGCCCTTGCCTTGCACGCAGCCGACCAGGGTTTGATTCCCAGCATCCCATATGGTCCCCTGAGCACCGCCAGGAGTGATTCCTGAGTGCAGAGACAGGAGTAACCCTTGTGCATTGCCGGGTGAGACTCAAAAAGCAAAAATAAATAAATAAATAAATAAATAAAATAGGCATGTCGCAGCATCCCCAGGTCTGACCCCTGTCACTGCTGAGAGTGACCCAAAGCAAAACAAAAGCTGAAATTAAAGAACGAGCACATTAGTCTCCTGCAAAAGAGCATGCGTACCGTCATCATCCTCAGTGTTATATTTTTCATTGTGTTTTTTTCCCACTGCTGGACTCCAGCCACAGTTTCTCCAGACTGCATCTGGATCGCGCATTTGTCACTTATCCACAGCTGCGCTGTGCGACTTCAACAGTGCTTGATGACCATCAAATAATAAATTATTCAAGTGAGTGATTAATAAGTAATGGTGCCATCAGTGAGTGTGAGGCTATGTCTCCGCCTATGCTCCTTTGCCACCTTCTCGGGGGCGTCTCACCGAGTCTGGGGCTGTAAGCATGCAGCTGTTTCTCCACAGCATAATCCACAGCATACGTCTCCCTTCCACCTGCTTTACTTATTTACTTTTGGTTTATTTACTCTTGTTCTATCACTGGCAGTACAGGGATGACTCCTGGCTCTGTGCTCAGGTATCATGCCCGGTGGAGCTCGAGGAAGATGGTGGGGGGGGGGGAGGGGGAGAAGAAGCATATTTGGTGCCTTGAACTGAACCCAGGTTGGTCATATGCAAGACAGGAGTCCTCTGGCCTTCCCTTCTGCCAGGGTTAAGTGAGATTTACATTCCATATTTGGGGCCGGCCCTGAGCCCCTGGGGAGAACCCCTGTGAGTTCCTGAATGGCAGAGTTATTACTCAAATGCCAGCCCCAGTGCCCACCCAGAGACTCCGTTAGCCAGAAGGCCACAGTCTTAGGGGCGACCTTATTCACCTACAAGGCCCAGGTGCTCATCAGAATTTCTAATCTCGCATACCCTGCCAGTGCTTCAAGCAGCTCCAGAGTCTGAGAGTCTGAGTAGTGCTGGGGAAGTGAGTTACATCCCTGTTGAGCTATAATGGTGTAACTCACACCCAGGGTGTGCCGTGGCAAGCTGCTACCAACTAGGATGCCCGAGAAGCAAAGGCTCCCCCCTTCAAACCCACTTTGGCCAATACAGGGGCTTCACACCTGATTGCAATGTCCAGACAGGCGCAGGCTGAGGGTTGGCCGGGCTGAATTCTAGGGCCCAGAGAGACCATTCTGGACTTGGTTTCTCTCTCCTGTCACCCAGGATCTAACTCCTCCAACGAGACTGCCCCATCTCAGTCTGGCATATGTCCGTCTTGCTCTCCGACTGGCATATGACTGTCTTGTTCCAGCCTAGGAGGAACAGGAGAGCATCAGGGAGTTAGGCGGTCACCTCACTTATTTTTTATCCATGCAGGGCTCTTTCAGAGAAGCAAGAGTGCGTGTTTGCCTGCTATCTCACTGTTCTTCCTTAAAATATGGCCTGGCATAGTGAGACCTTCATTTCAGCCTAAATTACATGCCTGCCCATCTCTCTCTCTCTCTCTCTCTCTCTCTCTCTCGCTCGCATCTCGCTCTCACTCTTGCTCTCACTCCCGCTCTCTCTTGCTCTCTCACTCTCTCGCTCTCTCTCTCTCTCTCATCAGCTCTCCCAAAACCTCCTGAAATAAAACCAGGGAAGTCCATTCCACCTTTCCCCTGACCCACCCCACCTCCCACTCGCCTCTCCATTCATCCACCCAATCCCAAACACACCATCCAACTACCTACTAAGGTTTTGGGTGCTGGAGCTAAGTGCAGAGTTGTGAGCCAGATTCTACCCTAATGGTGCTTTCAGTCTAGGTGAGGAGGGGAAAGTGAACCAAGTGACACCACTTATTGCACAGTTTCTCTACTGCATGCAGGAGAGAGAGAGAGAGAGAGAGAGAGAGAGAGAGAGAGAGAGAAGAGAGAGAGCTTGTACCCCAGGACCCCTAGCTTGGTGAGAGACCCTCTCACTCACACTCCCTCCCAGACCTCCTGCCTCCACTCTTCCTTGCTGGATGGACCTCCGTACCTCCGTGCTTACCGGTTGAGGTTCAGGGCTGTACTGAAAACTCACTCGTGCCACATAAGTGCGTTAATTTCGAGCTGGGGAAGACAGGCACTGGGTTCCAAAGAAGAGCTTCAGAATGTGGCCAAAGCACGCCCGCTTTGCCAATTCCCAGGAGCTTGTGGGGTGCCGGGGTAAGAGGGTCCGCGCTGGCCTAGGCGCAGATGCAGCACTTGGGCCCTCACGCACCTAGCCCCAAGCGTCTCCTGTGGACGGGTGGGCAGATCCCTTAGAGGGGGGACCCGGGGCACAGCCGTGCCTGCTCTGTGGGGGAGGAGGGTCCCGCTCCTGTTAACAGGAACGAGACCCCTTTACCTGCGGGGGGCCCCCGCTGTGGGCAGGAGGGGCGGGGGAAGGGGGGCTGCCGCGGGCCGGTGGGGGCGGGGCTGCGGGCCCAGGTGGCCGCGACGCGCGGAGAGCGGGCGCCCCTCCCCGCCGAGCCCTCCCACTTCCCCGGCGGCTGCTGTCAGGGCGCGGGCCCAGGGCAGGCAGGAGGCGCCGCCGGGACCGGGACGCAGCAGCTCAGCCGGGCCCGCGCTCGCGCCCTGAGCCATGGACCTTCCCGGGGGGCTCCTGGTGGCCTGCACGCTCAGCCTCTGGACAGGTAGGTGCGCCCCCGACGCCCCGGCCGCGAACCCCAGTCTGGAGTAGTTCGCGGGCGCCTCCCTGGCTCGGACTTGGGGGACCCCCGCCCCCGGAGCCCGCTGCAGCTCAGCGACCGGGTCGGGCTGAGTTCGGCAGCAGGGGTGCGCCCCGGCACCGGGAGTTCGGAGTTGGGTGCGCGGGATGCTGGTGCGGGAGAAGCGGAGAAACCGGACCCGGGAGCCCGTCCCGAGGGCGCCACGCCGCGGGGACGGGGCGCGGCGGAGCGAGCTGCTCATCGGCGGGGGCCGCAGGGACCCGGGTGGGCAAAGGAGTGGGTGTCGCCGCCTCGCCTTCTCTGCCCCTGGCACTCGGGGCGGGAACTGGGCATGCCCCCCACCTCCCTGAATTAATGCTATTATTGAACCAGCGTGCGGGACCGCGCCGCGCCATCTAACGCGCTCCAGGTGGGGGGCGCGGGGGGATGGAGAGAGGGGTTGGGGGATCCCATGGGCCACGCCAGGGCAGGCCCGGGCCCACTTGCCCCTCGGCGCGGCCAGAGATGCCCCTTATAGACAGTGAAAGTTTGTAGGGAGAATTCAGGGCGCCCGACGTGGGGGACGCGCGCCGGCCTCAGCCGTACTGGACACACCACCCCCAACCCCGGCTTGTCCCGGTTCCCGTGGGCCTCGACCTGGGCAGGTACTGGGGGGTCGCGGGGAGGCGTGGGAGACTCGGGAGACCGCGGGGCCCGTCAGATGCTGGGGCACAGGTGGAGAATTCCACACAGCGGCTCTTGGAGTCCTCGGGACTCAGAGGAACCGGGACGGACCGGGATTGGGTCTGCCCCGAGTCCCCGCTGAAGGGGACCGGAGGCTCAGCTGGCCCAAGAAGATGCTGTCCAGCCTGCGGGACACGGAGCAGCCCAGCGCGGGTCCGCGCGGCCACTCCGGAAGCCAAGTCCCCCTGCGTCCAGCTAGGAGCTGGGCATTGTCGGCGCCTCCTTCCCCGCAAAGAGGAGACGCCTCCAGCTGAGTGTCCACGTGATGAGGGGTCAGGAGGGTCCCAGCTGGGCTGTACGCTCCGAGAGGCTGAGCGACCTGGGGGGGGGGGGGTGTCGCTGCTGCGCCGGCAGGGGCGAAGGGGGCAGGGGAGGACAGGCAGGGAGGACCAGGCAGGATTTGTGACTCAGAGCTCCCTTTATAGGGCGAAAACCACCCCTGGGTTATGTCTGGTCAGTTTGGGTTCTTGAAATATGGGATTCATTAAACCTATCAATCAATGTTGGAGCGCCATCTGCTTGCACAGGGTTGGGGGCAGGGCCGGCCAGCATGTGTGCCCTGGAGAACGCAAGACCAGGCACAGCTGGACAAGAGAGGCAGTCCAGGGAGGAGCCGAGGAAGGGCTGAGGTTTGAACCACAGAAGTTCAGTTCTAGCCAGATAAGCCCAGAAGGCTTCCTGGAGGAAGACATCACTTGAACCAAGCCTTAAGTGTGTAGACTAGAAGTTCCAGACTTACTTGGCCTATCACCCTTTTTCAGAACAGCTACTGCAACCAAAAAAAAAAAAAAAAATTACTCAGCAGTCCTGTGGAAACCTGCCTTCTGTAAGTGAGCAAGCAGAAAGTGCCTCCTAGCCATTGTGCCTCTGGGATCTCCCACCCCCCCATGCCCGCTAGGGGTGGGGGGCCACCAGCTTCCTCTGGGGGGGGCACTGTCATCATATGGAAAGACCCTAAAGGGTGTGGATATCAACCAGTTATGCTCTGGAACTAAGGTGCATAGTTTAGATTCTGGTGCAGCATTGCCGCTCTTCACTACCCACTCACTGGGCTACACGGTCACCTGTGGGTGGTGGGGTGCGGGCGAGTGAGCTTACTTGGCGTCTCTGCCTGTCTGGAGCTCCTGCTCGGAGCTGGCCAGTCAAACTCTCTGTCACGCCAGGAAAAAAGAGGCAGGCCGATGCCAAGATCTCTCAAGCTGACATCGATCGGAGTCTCTGCACCGCTGTCGGCAAAGGGCAAGGAGACGGAGCTTCTAGAAAATCTCAGGCTGACTGGGGAAGATTCTTCGTTAGATCCCAGCCTGAAAACACGAGGAGGAGGAGGAGGAGAAGGAGGAGGAGGAGGAGGAGGAGGAGGAGGAGGAGGAGGAGGAGGAGGAGGAGGAGGAGGAAGGGAGGGAGGGAGGGAGGGAGGGAGGGAGGGAGGGAGGGAGAAAGAAAGAAAGAAAGAAAGAAAGAAAGAAAGAAAGAAAGAAAGAAAGAAAGAAAGAAAGAAAAAAGAAAGAAAGAGTCCAGAAAGATAGTACAGCAGCAGAGAGGGAGCTTGTCTTGCACACAAACTACTCAAGTTCAACCCCCGGCGTCCCGTATGATACCCTGAGCACCGCCGGGAATGATTCCTAAGTGCAGAATTCCTGAGTGCAGTGAGCCTGAGCATTTGAGCATTGCCTGGGGGGGCGGGGGTGGCAGCAAAAAAACAAAAATAAGGAAAGAAGGTAAGGTAAGGAAAGAAAGCTTCAGACACACACTCACTGCACTTTCTGCTCTGGGAACTGGCACCTCCTGGGGATGGCTCAGGCCCTGGACCGTCCAACTGGAGATGGCTCAGGACCCTGGACCGCCCAGCAGGGGCCTCTTTCAAACCCAGGCCCACAAGAGAAGTGCCAAGGGATTTCTGGGGTACTGAAGTGCCAGGAGACATACCCGCTTAGAGGGGAAAGTCGGTGTGGTAGCCCTTCATGTCCACCCTCACCACAATAGCAGCAACCATTTGCCTGAATCACCCCAGAAGGTACCAGTGAGGGACAGGGTGAGGGTGAGGAAGATGGTGAGGGAGATGTTGAGAGAATGTGTGAGGGATAGAGTGAGAGACAGGGTAGGGGACAGATCATCCCTCTCCCTGACAAACTCCCAGCTCGGGGCTGACAGGGCCTCCCCTTACCCCAATATCGCTCTGGTCTTCCTGGTGCCAGTTTTCCTGCTCAGGTCCAGCTGCCGTCGTTCCCTTCCTGCTCTGGACCCTGCTCAGCGACAGGTGAAAGTGGATGCATTCAGGGCACTGCGGTGCTCCCAGTGCAGTGCTTGGCTTTGGGATGCAGGCTGGCGGGGTCATCAGAGGCCTGGGGAGCTGGACCCAGGCTGGCAGTTTCATCAGTGGGTGTCTATGGACCAAGGACTGTGTGCGGGCTGTGCTGCGTGGGGTGCCATGTCTCAGAGGCATTAGCAGTGTGGGCAAGCTGCTGTACCCACTAGACCGGTGCTCCAGACAGGATGCCGGGATGGTGCCCGCGTCCACAACTGCTGACCCAGGCTCCTCCCCCTGTGTTTCCAGGCCTGGGTCTCTGTGCCTGGGCAAGGTTCTGGAACAATGGGGATGGGCAGTGGGTGTAGCCCACTGGTGCCCCACAGGGCCTCTGGGAGTTCATGCTCAGGCACGAGACACCAGGTGCGGCCGCCCAGCTGCCCGCCAGAGAGATGAGGAGTCAGAGCTCTGTAGGGCTGGACGCTCTCCGTGCTGTCCCCCATATAATGTGCACACTTGGTCTCCTGGAGCGTGTTGGTAAAGATCAGAGCCAAATTTGCTGTAGCTGTCACAGGAACTGGGGGCTAAACAGTGTTTAAACCAGAGGAATGATTTTGTTTGTTTGTTTTTGTTTGGGGGCCACACCCAGTGATGCTCAGGGGTTACTCCTGGCTCTGCACTCAGGAATCACTCCTGGCTGTGTTTGGGGGACCATTTGGGGATGCTGGGGATTGAACCAGGGTCGACTGTGTGCAAGGCACGCAACATCCTCACTTTATAATCGCTGTTGCTCCCATGAAGGAAAGATGTTCCAATGGTGGATTTTTCTGTGTCTGTGGCAGGTCAGGTGAATGAGATCACTAAAATTTTTCTCTGTGGACTTTTATGGATGTCCCTAATTAGCCACCAATCCCACATCCTGCATCCACTCTTAGCCTGCCCCCTAACCCGACCTCAAACCATGACCCCAACCCCTCTCCTGCCAGGGATAAAGGCCCCAGAGCAACATCCATCCCCACACACCCTCATCCCTCTCCTTCTCCCTCATCATCTCCATCCCTCCCCATCCACCCTCACCCATCCATCCCTCTGCATCCACCTTCATCCATTCCCATCCACCATCATCAGTCCCTATCCCCCTCAATGCTCCCATCCCTCCCCATCCATCCCCATCCACTCTCATCCACCTTCATCCATCTCCATCCTTCCCCATCTCTCTTCATCCATCCCCATCTTCCCTCTCCCACTAGAATCACTTTTCTCTGGAGCTCTGGTGTTCCATGACCAGCAGTCATAGAATCCCATGAGCCTGCACATCTTTCTCTACATCCCATTTGGCCTAGAGACCCCAGATCCGTTTCCAGGTGCACAAACTGAGGGGTCTTTTGTTTGACCAGCGGGGACTGAGCACCCATGATACCCCTTGAGGCTCTGGGGATTCTGGGTGAGATAAAGGCACAGCCTCTGTCTTGGGGAACACAGTGAGACCCCCATATGCTCTAGGCGTCCACCAGAGACTCCAGAGCAGTGACACGGGTCCATGACTGGGGTGCAGGGATGACTTGGAAACCACCAAAGAATTGTTCTGTCCCATCTCTCCCCCGTCAGCCCCCCGCTTTCAAATTCGTTTCCGGAGGTTGGTAAATCATGTGATGTGGGGTTGAGCCTCCAGGATAAAGTAGAGAGGCCCAGATTTACCCTCTGGTAAACAGGGTCCTTCTTGGTCCTGCCACCTGCCCACTCATGCCCAGGAATGGCCAAGGCTGGGCAAAGTCATGCTCTGACTCTGGTTGCGACCACACCACATATTCACCCAGGTGGAGTTCAGCACTGCTTTGGTTTGGGTTTTAGGTTTTGGCCACACCCGTGATGCTTAGGGGCTACTTCCAGCTCTGTGCTCGGGAGTGACTCCTAGCAGTGCTCAGGGGACCAGATGCAATGTCGGGGATTTGAATCAGGGTCAGCCCTGTGCAAATCAAGCACCCTAAACCCTGCA